TAAGTCTAAAATAGAATTTAAAGCAAGAGTGATTCTAATTGTTGAACAAACGAGGCAAAACGAAATTTCAAACAAAAGCAAAGTGAGCAAATGTATCAAAGAGTGTTTTTGTGGGCTAGAAAACAGATTGGGAGACTAGGGCATTCGATTCACCATAACAATTCAATTCTGTGTTATAAGTCGTTAAGTGACAAGTCTAATTCGGATTCAAAGATTGACCATAACAATTCAATTCTAGGCATCCCTAGTAGGAGGAGTTGTGTCTCCTAAGGGTTTAACAGAAACAATACCCACAAACGCTTTACTGACTCTACAAAACAAAAGGTTAGAAAACTAACTTTGAAAACAACTAATGAAAATGAAAGAAAACTTTAATCATACCTCCAACACCATAGAGTTGCCAAGATAGATGATCAATAAGTGTGTAAACTGGAAGCTATAGCTCAAAGGCACACGGCTTCAAAGTAAACATACTCAAATCTTGAAGGAAGGACATGCTTTAACTCTAATTCTCACATATAGCACTCAATCACTCAGAACCTATGGTTTTATTCTCTCAAACAAGCATAAGTGAGTATATGAAATAGAAGCACAATATTTGGTTAGATCTCATGAAAGGAATCAAATACTAAGAATAGAGATACAAACATACATACCAGCACCCATGAATACATCCTCAAATATCAGCTAGGTCTTTCACAAGGTTGTAATGAAAGGCTAAGGTTAGGGGAAATGGAAGAGTTGGAAGGAACACGATTAACTTAAGAACATACCAAGGTTGCATTCTTCATTGATCTGCAAGGTATCATTGATTTAGAATGGTATGGGTGCAACTTCATAGCATCATGGTATAGACCTTATATTTCACATTTAGATCAAATTGAAACACTTTCTCTTTATCTTTCTTATTTGCTGACTCGATCTACTTCTTCTTTAACTTCATTGCATAGATTCACACCAATTTACATTTAGGCATGTGGCAGGAACTTCCTTGCTTCAAACTTTATCTTGGCACACCTTGGTATATTTCTAAGCTATAAGGTATGGCTATAATAGGTTAAATATCTCAGATTGAGATACAAGGTTAGGGGAATTATGAGGGTGACAGAAGAAAAAGGCTTGAAGTGTTTGGCTGCAAGAGAGTTGATGGAACACACGAATGGGTAGGGTGAAAAGAAAGCACAGAGAATGGTTATACACACATAGCCTAGCATCACTTCAATGAGTTCATTCATGAATGAGAGCACGCACCTGATATCTGCAAAGAGAATCATCCTTAGTATTCAATCAAAATGGAACAATGAGATCATTTAGAGTGAATTGAAGAAAATAAGTAGAGATGAGGAATAGAAACACTTTAAACCCTCTCAAGAATGCAATTAGGCTCGAAATAGCTCACTAGGGTAGTCTCCACTATTCTCCTTCAATAATCTGAGCATGGTACCTTAGCCACCAGAATTCTAAGAGCAAAAGCTTTGTGAAGTGTAAAATTTCTGATATGAAAATCTCAATGGCAGCTCCATAGCATTAATTGTATGAAATTCTAAAAAAAAAATAAAAATAAAAATAAAAATAAAAATAAAAATAGTGACAAGCAAACGAAAATTGTAAACACAAATGAACAAAAATTGAAAACCTCCCCCTCAGACCTGAATTGAACATTGTCCTCAATGTTAAAGCAAAACAAAGATGAGTGAGAACATGTAAATAATAAGGGGAAAGTTTAAGACCAAGGATTAGAGAAACTCCCTCTTGATGCGATTAGGTCGACCGCTACCAAGCACCTTATTCTTTAACACATGGGTTGCATCCCAAGAAGTGCCTTAGTTAATGTCTTGGCAAGACATTATGCGATTAGCTAACTTGATTGTAAGAATGGAAGATGATCCACCACATGACCAGTTTGAATTCCAACTGACACTCCCTCATAGAATGGCTTTAAACGTTGTCCATTTACTTTGAAAGTCGAGCCATCTTTAGGGTTTTGAATCTCCACAGCTCCATAGGGAGAAACATTGACCACGGTGAATGGGCCAAGCCACCTAGACTTCAATTTTCCTGGAAAGAGACGCAAACGTGAGTTAAACAAAAGAACTGACATACCTTTGGTGAACTCTTTCCGTTGAATGTTCCTGTCATGGTAACTCTTGGTTCGTTCTTTGTAAAGCCTTGCATTCTCATAGGACTCATGTCTAATTTCTTCCAATTCATTGAGCTGAAACTTTCTAACATGGCCGGCCTTGTCCAGATCAAAATTCAACTTCTTGATGGCCCAAAAAGCATTGTGTTCAAGCTCCGTTGGCAAGTGACAGGCTTTCCCAAACACAAGACGATAAGGGCTCATTCCGATGGGAGTCTTATATGCAGTCCTATAAGCCCATAATGCTGCATTGAGCTTGGCAGCCCAATCTTTCCTTGTACTATTCACCACCTTCTCTAGGATGTGCTTAATTTCTCTGTTGCTTATTTCTAATTGACCAGAAGTTTGAGGATGATATGGTGAAGAGACTCAGTGGGTGATGTTGTACTTCTTCATGAGTGCTTAAAATGGCTTGTTGCAGAAGTGGCTGCCTCCATCACTAATGACAGCCCTTGGAGTACCAAACCTTGTGAAAATATTGTCCCTCAGGAACTTCAGCACCACCTTATGATCATTGGTTTTGGTGGCTATGGCTTCCACCCATTTAGACACATAATCAATAGCAACAAGTATGTAGGTATATCCAAAGAAAGATGGGAATAGTCCCATGAAATCAATACCCCATACATCGAAGAGTTCCACAAAGAGTATGTTCTTCAATGGCATTTCGTTCCTGCGGCTTATGTTTCCCATCCTTTGACACCTATCATACTTAACGTAAAAATTAAATGCATCTTTGAATAGAGTAGGCCAAAAGAAACCTGATTGCAAAATTTTAAGTGCTGTTTTCTTAGCTCCAAAGTGGCCTCCACAAGCCAATTCGTGGCTATGCCTAAGGATGCTTTCTTGTTCTTCTTCTGGAACACATCTTCTAATGAGTTGATCTGGGCAATGCTTGCATAAGAAAGGTTCATCCCAGACATAATGTTTCACCATGGAAAAGAACTTCTTTTTGTCCTGATAAGTTAGATCATTTCTAAGAACACCACAAGCAAGATAATTCACAAAATCAGCATACCATGGCTCTTTGACTTGGGCAACATATAGTTCTTCATCTGGGAAAGTCTCATTCAAGGGTAGTACAGCTTCTCCTTGCTCTTCAACCACAATTCTGCTCAAATGGTCAGCCACCACATTTTCACATCCTTTTTTGTCTCGAATCTCCAAATCGAACTCTTGCAGCAAGAGAATCCATCTGATCAAGCGTGGTTTGGCGTCCTTCTTAGTGAGCAAGTATCTAAGAGTAGCATGGTCAGAATAAACAATCACTTTAGAACCAACAAGGTAAGAACGAATTTTTTCTAAAGCAAAAACCACAGCAAGCAACTCCTTCTCTGTTGTGGAGTAATTGAGTTGGGCATCACTCAAGGTCCGGCTCGCATAATGAATCACATGGGGAAGCTTGTTCTTCTTTTGACCTAGAACTGCACCAATAGCAAAGTCAGAGGCATCACACATTATTTCAAATGGTAAAGACCAATCTGGAGCTATGATAATAGGGGCTGAAGTTAGCTCTTTCTTCAAGGTCGTAAAAGCTTCCATGCAAGTTTCGTCAAACTCAAAAACAGCATCCTTAGCAAGGAGATTACACAATGGTCTTGAAATGCTCGAAAAAATTTTGATGAACCTTCTATAGAATCCAACATGGCCCAGAAAGCTTCTAACTCTTATAACAGAGGAAGAGGGTGGTAGATTTGAGATGATATTTTTCTTGGCTTTGTCCACTTCAATTCCCTTGCTTGAAACAACATGGCCTAGCACAATTCCTTGTCTTACCATGAAGTGACACTTCTCCCAATTCAAAATCAGATTTGTTTCTTGACATCTTTTAAGCACTAGAGACAAGTGGTGAAGACAATCATCAAAAGATGAACCAAAAACAGAAAAATCATCCATAAATACCCCCATGAATCGTTCCACCATATCAAAAAAGATTGCCATCATGCATCTTTGGAAAGTTCCTAGAGCATTGCACAAACCAAATGGCATCCTTCTATAAGCAAATGTACCGAATGGGCATGTGAACGTGGTTTTCTCCTGGTCTTCCGGAGCAATGGGAATTTGATTATACCCTGAAAATCCATCAAGAAAACAGTAGTAAGCATGGCCAGATAAACGGTCAAGCATTTGATCAATGAAAGGCAAGGGAAAATGATCTTTTCTTGTGGATGTGTTCAACTTCCTGTAATCAATGCAAACTCTCCAACCGGTGATAGTTCGTGTTGGAACTAGCTCATTCTTCTCATTCTTTACAACGGTGATTCCGGACTTCTTTGGAACAACTTGCACAGGACTCACCCACTTAGAATCTGAAATTGGGTAGATGATTCCCACATCAAGTAGCTTTAAAACTTCAGCCCTAACCACCTCTTTCATGTTGGGATTTAGCCTTCTTTGTGCATCACAAGATGGTTTGTTGTCTTCTTCCATTAAAATTCGGTGCATGCACATGCTTGGACTAATTCCTTTGATGTCTGCTATGGTCCATCCAAGGGCTGTTTTATGCTCTTTCAGAACTTCAATTAAGTTGTCCTCTTCATGTGAGGTGAGACCTGCAGCAATTATAATAGGGAGAGTTTCATTAGTACCCAAATAAATATGTTTAAGATGATTGGGTAGAGGTTTAAGTTCTAGCTTTGGTGGGGTAATAATGGATGCCTCCAATTTTTTGGAGGATGGTCCAAGAGGCTCGAGTGGTGGCCTAAAGGATGGTGGGTATGGCTGAAACACTTCTAAGGCAGCCATCACTTCTTGGAATTCTGATTCATAGAGATCTTCCTCTTCTTGTGTTAGGACAGCTTCTAGAGCATCATTAGACTTTTACTGCACAATTTTAGAAGAAACCTCATGATCCACAACATCAATTGAAAAAAAAAGTATCAAGAGTGATAGAAGGTTGAGAGAGAGCATCAAACACTTTAAATTCAACAGTTTCACCCAAAACAATCATGGAGAGGGTGCCATCTTTCACTTTGATGATTATGTCTGCAGTGGCCATGAATGGTCGCCCGAGGAGAATGGGATCAACGCGGTCTCCATATGGGTTATCCTCCATATCCATCACTACAAAATCAGCTGGAAGAATGAGTGTATTAACTTGAACTAAAATATCTTCTACAATACCTTTTGCATATTTGATAGAATGATTAGCTAGTTCAAGATGAATTGAGGTTTTCTTTATCCCTTCTAAGCCAAGCTCCTGATAAACTGAATATGGCATTACATTGATGCTTGCTCCCAAGTCCAACATGGCTCTTCCAACCGTCTTATCTCCGATGTTAATGGGAATGTCAAAGCTGCCAGGATCTTCTAGTTTTGGTGGAAGCTTCCTTTGCAACACAGCACTCACATTCTTGTTGAGCTTTACTTCTTCACTTGGAGCAAAATTAAGCTTGTGAGTCATCAAGTGCTTGATGAACTTTCCATATGCAGGAATCTGTTTAACAACATCAAGCAAGGGCAAATTGATATTAACTTTACTCAAAATATCATAAATCTCTTTAAAAGCCTTATCTTGATTCGCTTTCTTCAAACGGCCTGGAAATGGAATCGGTGGAATATATGGAGGAGGTGGGATGTATCTATCTTGATGAAGATGCGATGGCACAAATTTGTCATCTCTTTTATGCAATTGAAATGGATTGGGTTCCTGAGAATCAGATTTGGCCTTAGGAGCAGATTGGGACGTTTTGGGTTGTTCTCCATCTATAGCTGTGGTTTCCTCTTCATCTTCATCCTCTACAACCACAACATCATTTGATAGATCAGAACCAACTTTGTTATCAACAATCTTACCTGATCTGAGCACATGAACGGCCTTGGCTTCTTGGTTTTTTGGATTGATCACGGTTTGGCTTGGCCATTTCCCAGGTTCTATTTGTGCTATTTCAGTAGCTATCTGGCCTAATCGGACTTCCAATGTGGAGATGGCAGCTTGTGTAGTTTGTTGGAAATTGGATTGGTTGATTGCCATTTTCTTCACTATATCCTCTAACGATGATAATTGTTGTGGCCTTTGGAGTAAAGGGGGATTCGCTTGATTCTGTGTATTCCTCCATGAAAAGTTTGGATGATTCCTCCAACCTGGATTATAACTTTGAGAATATGGATCATTTATTGGACCTCGGTTGTAGGAATTCACCAACTTAGCTTGCTCTTGCACAAATTCTGGATATGCAGCCCCAAGGGGACAAGAAATGGTAGGATGATCATGAGTTTCACAGATGCTACACACTTCCTTTGAAGGGTTTCTTGAGTTCAATGCAAGGAGGGCATCAAGCTTTTGTTCCAATTTGGAAATCTGCACACTGGAAGAATCATTAGAACCACCAACAATACGTTTACCTCTTGTATCGGTGTGTTGGGTCTCCATTGTTATCTCCTCAAAGAGTTTATATGTTTCTTCAGGAGTCTTAGTCTTATAAGAACCACCTGCAAAATTAGTGACAATATTATTGCTAGAGGGGGTTAGTCCTTTATAAAACATATGCATCTGAAGCTTCAATGGAATCCCATGATGAGGACATTGATTGAGCAGCCCATTGAATCTCTCCCATGCTTCATAAAATGACTCATCATCTTGTTGTGCAAATAGTAAGATCTTGTCCCTAAGCATGTTAGTTTTTTACGTAGAGAAGTATTTCTCCAAGAACTTCTTTTGAATGGCTCCCCAAGTCGTGAGTGAACTAGGCTTCAAAGAATTCAACCAATATTTCGCCTTATCTTTCAAAATATAAGGAAACACTCTCATTCGAAGTTGATCTTCCGTCACACCTGTCAAGGCTAAAGAGCTCACGGCATTAAAAATATCCTTTATATGGGTTAATGGATCTTCATTAGGTAAACCATAAAAGGAAGGCAACATATTAAGATGAGAAGATTTAAGCTCACAGTTTCAAGCTGCGGTGGGCAGCAAGATGCTTGAAGGGGATGCTAGAATTGTTGGGATATCAAGGTCTCCTATGAACTCATTGGCAGCCATCTTTTCTTCTTCTTCTTGGTTTGAACTTGATTCTGAATTTGAAGGTGAAGAACCTGGGAGGTCAGTGTGGATAGCAAGACCTTCAAATGTGTCAATGGCATGCTCTTTCGCAGTTGCCAACTCTCTTTCTAGACGATTCTGAATTTCAGAGATCACCCGGTTTGGTTGCAAAGATGGTCTTGTGTTCAAAGATCTCGAACGTTGGAATGAAGACCTCACTTGTTCAAGTAAGGGATTTCTAGACATAAACTACCTGAAACAGAAAATAACTTGAGTTAATTAGTACTACTAAAAGAATAGGGTAACCTTGGGCACATAACCAGGGAAGAACTTTCATTCAATCCCCGGCAACGGCGCCAAAATTTGTTGTTAATATGTTAACTCGCAATTGTACGGGCCAATTAGTAATATAGCAAGACAAGTACAAGGTCGTACCCACGAGGACTGAGAAGTTAAAATTAGTTATGTACCTAGATTACCAAATTCAAGAAAGTAGGAGGTTAAGTCTAAAATAGAATTTAAAGCAAGAGTGATTGTAATTGTTGAACAAATGAGGCAAAACGAAATTTCAAACAAAAGCAAAGTGAGCAAATGTAACAAAGAGTGTTTTTGTGGGCTGGAAAACAGATTGGGAGACTAGGGCATTCGATTCACCATAACAATTCAATTCTAGGTTATAAGGAGTCAAGTGACAAGTCTAATTCAGATTCAAAGATTGATTCTAGCTAAAGTAAGATTCAAAGATTGATTCTAGTCCTAACCTTGTGTTCCTAATTCCCTAACTTGATCATTTGTTGTCTAACCTAAATTAAGCATTAGGAACTCATTAAGCATAGAAGAACAATTTAAACAACCAAGCATGTATCTAATCCCTGTTGTCGAATGTCCATACATACTTTTCTTATTCATAGTTCAATTCGAATCAAAGCATGGTGTCTACTCTTGATTCAAACCAAGATAGCTAATATACAAGTTCTAATGATGATCAATCATCCAGACAAGCATATTAACTGATAAGCATAATGAATAAGAACATGAATCATGAATCAAACTTGAAACTCAAAATTTCAACTTATAAACCCAGAATATTCATGTTAGGTTACATCGAAGTCCTAGTTATGAATTTAGCTACTCATAATGGAAATGAAACTTAAACAGAAAAGAAAAAACATAATGAATGTAATAAGAGTGGAAAAACCCATTTCTGAAGTTACTTGTGGTGTCCAAGGCTTCTCCAAGTGCTTCTCCACACCTAATGCTGCTCCAAGACCTTCCTCACATCTAGAGTATGGCAACTAAAGAGGTGATTTGGGATGAGTTTGGGTGAGTGGTGATGGTAGAGAAAGAGGAAATTCGTAGGGAAATTAAAGGAAGGCTAGTTGAAGCTGTTTTGGTGATTTGGGACTGAATAGAGTGTTTGGGGAAGGATGGGAGTGTTAGAGGATGGCTGAAGTGAATTTTAGGCTGAATGGAGTGACATTTCTTTGAATGAGTGTGCATCACTCTATTTATAGAGTGCAAATTCGTGCTCCCCCTTTGGCTGATGAAGCACACCCATTCCTAGCTGTTCCCATTTGTCTGAGCTGCCCATTAGGTTCCCATGCTGCTGATTTGATGTGTAGCCCATGCCTCTAGGAATGTCAGCTGCCCATCCTTTTGAGTTTCCATGCTGTCTTGTCTCCTATGTGTGGCTGACTTGATGTGAATTTTGATGGGCCCACGAATTGGGATCAATTTAATCAATTGATACATTTGAGTAGTCCATTTTGAAGTTCAGACTCTCATCTTTCCAACCACATATTATTTGGGCCAATCCAAGTTGGGAGAAAGACGTTAATGCCGAAATGAGTTGCTAACTCAGTCTGCTCGTTTTTGCACCATTTTGCATCTTTTCTTATCCAAAGGCATCATTGCTACCTAAGGCCCAATGAACTGAATGATAAACAGAAAAGGGATTAAAAGCACAAGTTTGACTCAATAACATAATCAAATCATAAGCTAGAATGGTGCAAAATGATATGCAATTGTGAACTGATCATCATTCAAATCCATAAAAATAAAATAAATTTGCAAACAAGGGCATCCTAAAATAGAAGAAATGCAAGAGTTCATTAAATCCATCCCAAAAGAATTTGCAAACACATAACTAATATCAATTGAAACAGATTCAAGAGAAAAGATTTCAAAATAGGAAACCCATACTCCCAAGGCATGAGGCTTGAATACTCTACAGCTTTACGATGAACTTCCTCTGGAAGATGAGCCCTGAACCCATCACAAAACTGACCACAAGAAACCATATCAAGGATCTTAAGGCTTCATGAACAACAAAAATAATCTAGTTCATGAACAACAAAAATAATCTATCAGGTACTGACAGTATCATGGGAATTTCAAAATAAAAATTGTGCTATGTGCTCAGATGATATGCAGTGCTTGTGTGTGCATGCATGCTTGCTTCTCGCATTTATCAATAATGCAACTACATGAAATATGAGTTACTCACCACTAGATAGCATCTAAAACTGACTTGGAAGATTTATCTCAGCTTTGGGCAAAATGTTCAACGGATCACATCCTTGAATGATAGAGTTCCTAGGTTTAGCATCAGCACATATGACCTCCTGAGCAAACACATATTCAAGGATTGTGTCCTACTTCTAAAGCCACCACGATCTTACTGTGGGAAAAATTCATCAGCTGAAGGACAATAAAAGTAATATAATCCCAACAGCATCTAAAAATTAACCGAAGAAAAATTGCACGGAATTTATAGAACTGAAGAGACAAGCCCAACCGTAATAGGAAGCTAGAGAGGAAAATGGGGAAAAAATCGCATCACAAATTATAACTATGTCAAACATAATGAAATAATGAAGGTCATATTAATGAGAAAAGAGAAATAACTTTAAACTGTAAAAATGACCTTCTTCAACATAACTGCATATCCATATATGGTGCGACAAAACAATCCCCTCGAGGATCATAGTAGCTATTTCAAGCAAATTCATTTGAAAAAGAATTATGATAAGTTATGCTTATATATAGAAGAAATAAATATTTTAACTTCCCAACAACTTTATTCAAAAGACAGGCATTCTTTCCACTGAATTTATTTTAAAAGTGGCTATCCCCAAATTATAAGAGCTAACAAAATTAACAACTACTAAAATTGGGATAAATAGTGATAATACATAGCATCATAACAACATCATATCTTCCTTCCCAACATGGAAAAAAAAATCAAGTTGAGATGGTAAAACTCAATTTTTTATGAGATGACCACTCTTGAAGTTTCTTTTATGAAAAACTATTTGACATCTTCACAACAAAATAAATTACAAACCTCCACTAGTCAGCAAAATGGAAGGCATAAAGAAAAATATTTTCAACATAAATTGTTATCCACCAACTTGCATCAAATCCTGCAGAGACTACATAAATAAGTCAAGATTAAATTCCTTGGCAACAAAAACCAAAATATGGTCCCAAACTGCAAAATAGTCTGCATCACCACACCGACCATTTTCCCAGGGGACATTAATGTTGTATCAACTCCTGGTCCGTCTCCAATCATAGTATAGAAACCATCATCAGTAGCTGGATAAAAGCTTCCAAACTCATGCCTGAATAAAGCACAACTCCATACGGTCATCATAACTAAGAACTTTGATCTTACTCAACCAAACAAGTTACAAGCTAAAAGCTCCAATGAGAAAAACATTTGAAAGAATGCAAAAAGTTATAGATTCTTATGTCACAGAACCATTGAAATGAGTAAAAAGACTCTTGGTAGCAAATTCAAATTCGAGAAAACAACAAAGGAATGTCATGCAACACATGTTAACAACACAACATGAAGAGATCTAACTTCAACTTTGTGTATGTTATGAATAAGCTTAAATGATCAAGGAAAAGAACGAGTGTCAATTTAAATATGGCATACCTATGAATAGAGAAGAACAAAACTCGAGGATCCATCCAGAACATCTTTTGAGTATCATAACTCAAAAGACTGATAATCCACTAGGATTATGGATCCAATTTAACCTTCACATCTTTGACTGACTGATAACTGATAGAATGGCTTAACCATGTTTCTGAGTTGCCAGCTTCCCCATATGTTAACTATATGGACTATGAATGAATGCCAAAAGGCTATATGAAAATTTTGAGGAGCTTCCCCCATCATGGAAAAATCAACTCAACACAATAACAAGGATAAGATATAATCACAAACACAGATCACTACTAGTGAATGTGAATTAACTAAACAAATTCATAAAGGATTGAAATTTAAAGATTAACTTTATTTATAATATAGTATGATCAATCACACCACCAGGTAAGATCGAGAGACAACTGAAACTACTAAAACCTAATAAAGAGTCTCTCAATTGACTACTGCCAGATTTTGATACCGTGGGCTAGAGATGGCTACTTCCATGACATGGTGCGAGCCAACTTTACCATCTTTATCCAAGAAGGACTTGACCAAATTACTGGAGAAGCCACCGAGCATGGCCAACCCTGGTCGCATACGACAAGGCACAAGCACCCTGTCGTAGTGGTCTAACTGCCAAAACACAATTTGTGGCATTGCATCACTGTACCCTTTCCCCTTAAAATTTCTT